GTTGTTTCCTTTTGTAGAATGTGTACGCGTAAACCTATAAGAACATTAAGTCTGGTCCACTACATCTGACGCAAAAAATGAATAATAATTATGTTTAACTTTCAGAACAATATACGTGTATATATATACATTGTGGATGGATGGATTTCATTGATATTCAGTACCAATCAGTATCATCCTAAGACACAGAAATAGTACAAATTTGGTTCCAATACACTTATTATTGGGCGAGTTACACTTTGTTTTCTTATCTCTCTTTCCCAATTTCAGCTTTGCCCCGTCGGCAGATATGGCCTCCGCAAATGACCTCAACACCACTTACGCGTCTTGAGGACCACTTTTCTTCGCAAACTCCTTGAGGATTTGGGACAAGGCTCGGAAGGACTTGGCTAGCAGGACTCGTAGGAGGTAGCAGAAGGCGAAGTAAAACTCGACGATGGTGATGAAGGAAGCGCCGAGGAACAGTCCCATTTGCCCTCCGAGGTCACCTGTAGCGGGGACAGGTCAAAGGTCAGGGGTTAAGGGATGGACGTCAGTGGAGGGCGTGTTAAGGGTAAGGGTGTGTTTGTGTATCGGTTTGTGTTTGTTTTGTCGTTTGTTTTTGTTTTGTCTGTGTGTATGTGTGTTTTGTTTTTGTTTTGTTTGTGTGTATGTGTGTTTTTTCGTGTTTTGTGTTATGTGGAGTTTTGGCACATTGTTTCGCATGCATAAATTCGTATGAATAACCATGTACATACATATACAGAAGAAGAATACTTTCATCCATACAAAGATTTTAAAAGATTTAAAAAGGTCAAACTCACACACACACACACACACACACACACACACACACACACACACACACACCACACACACACACACACACACACACACACACACACACACACACACACACACACACAGCACACACACACACACACACACACACACACACACACGAAGAAAATAGCCAGCCGTACATACACTATGACTCATGTAACAAATTAGTGTAATACATTAGCCAATGTAAGCAGATAAGATCAGATAACACACTGACTCATCGCAGGAAGGTAATCTAAACATAACCAAATATTTGCTAAATTCTTATCATTAAGCGATGTCAAGATTACGATAAAAAAAAAAAAAAATTTGAAAAGATGGTTATTAATACCGTATTAAAATCTCGGTTGTGAAATAAGAGGTAGCAGCTGATATTGTACGTGTGTTGATGTTTATGAATGAAAGGTTCCGAGTCATGAATGAATGGATGAGATAGTAAACAGGAATATGGTAATGCTACAATGATATATTTCGGAATGGGAAAAGTAAATTAACACATATAAATCATAGTCGTTAATGATGTTTCCGACCCTAATATGCGTCGAATAAAAATAAATCTTAGTGATACGATAAAAGGATAAAAAATTAAAGTGTTCCGTCGATAAATTCCTATAGATTGTCAACCACAGAGAAATTTAAGGTCAGTCATTAAATTTTTTTTTTTTTCGTGTATTCAAAAATATGACGATGTACCTGTACATTTATTATGGCAAATGCAGAAAGAAAATGAATGAGAATGAAAAAATTATAATAAATGAAATGAATCACACAGCTTTAACAGTTCAATCATCATTACTTCTTTCACTTAATCATCCTGCATCTTTCATTCGAAGATTTTATAAACATAAATATTAAAATAGATGAACAAAAAGTAAACAAATCTGATAAACATAAATATTTTAAAATACAGACTTAAAATTTCCTGAACAAAGAAAACACAGATTCGTTAAACAATAAACGAAATACAGACACTGGAACAAAATACAAGGATCTGCTGAACACAATACTATGAGAAGCAGACTCACTGAACCACGTCAGGAAGGTCGGGACCCGCTCGTAGTACTCAGTGTAGCCGAGATCGGAGAAGTAGATGTTCACCATGGACAGGGTCAGGCTGAGGAACGATAATGATGATAATCATAAGAATAATGACAATAAGGATGATAATGATGATAATAATAGTCATAGAGTCCGTTTATAATGAAATAAAGGCTAAAACTAATAAAGTCCCAAAAGTCGAATAAACGGTTAGGGCAAAGGAGGCTGCTCGCTTGTTCATTGTTGTCGAAAACCATTTTCCAATTATGAATACGGATCAATATTACCATCATTATCACTATTATCATCATCAAAAATAACAATTATTAATAATGATATAAACATCCATCAACGATGATATAAAGATATGAACCATAGCAACAATTCACGCATATCTACTACCCCGCAACCGGAATATAAAAACAAAACAAAAAATAAAGAACCTTACTTTGGCGGGATGGGCTTCCCTTGGAGGTCCTGCAGAACGTCCTTGATGATGGTCGTGTAACTCTGCTGCTGGTTGATGGAGGTGCTGAGGCACATCTCGCTCTGACCTGAAGGAGGACTGGGTTGGCGGGGGTGCTGGGGCGGGGGCTGTAGGGCTGGGGCTACTCGTGTATGTGTATATGAATATATATGTGTGGGGTGTGGTGTGTGTGTGTGTGGGGGGGGTGTTGTGTGTGTGGGGTGTGTGTGTGGTGTGTGTGTGTGTGTGTGTGTGTGTGTGTGTTTGTGTGTGTTGGTGTGTGTGTGTGTGTGTGTGTGTGTTGTTTGTGTTGTGTGCGTGTGTGCGTGTGTATGCATATATACATATACGCGTGAATGCAACAAAAGGAACAAAGTAGTGCTCCTTTTTATAGTGTAGCTGATAAAGTGCTGTGAAAACGTAGTGAGCGAGACATGAAGAGGGTCCTTGTTCTTAGCGCAAATGTGTCAAGAGCAGAGCGATTGACTGCGTAAAATAACCCTTATGTGCGTGGAACGGGATTGTGCAGTCACGGACGAAGCCCAAAGGTGTGAGCCGTGAATGGAGCTTCGAAATTCTGTGCGTTTTTGTGTTCATGTGCGAGTCTGTTTGGTTTAGGTTTGTGTATGTGTGTTTGTGTGTGAGTTTGTTTGTGTTTATGTGTCTATGTGTTAATGTATGTGTTTGAGTTTATATATATGTATGTGTTAATGTATATGAGTTTGTGTTTATATATGTGTATGTGTTAATGTATGTGTTTGTGTTCATATATGTGTTTATTTTTGTGTTTATCTATGTGTTTGTGTTTATGTGTTTATGTGTGTGTGTGTTTGTTTGTGTGCATATGCCAAGTCACCTCTGCCAATGATATCCACTCTATCGGAATATCCACTCTCATAATGATAATAATGCGAGCCTTAAAAAGTGATGCCCGATGCATACAACGAAATTGCCGTCTTGTGTTCAGCCCTTAAAGACGCTCACTCTCATGGGTATAAGTGTATGTTTGTTTGTATGTGTCTTTTGCTTGTGTTTTGTGTGCAGCTTAGAATGCATTCTTTAGTCTCAGATGGTTGTAGTGTGTGCGTTTGTGGGTGTGTTTGTGTTTCTATGTTCACTTTGGAATATTCTCATATTCTATTAGACACATAGTAAATAATATGAAAAGATCTACGGAAGACAGCATTCACATTTCCATCCAAAGTAGATACACTACACTCCAATTTATTAATTTACATCACTTTATATCACACTTAGAATCCAGCCAGTTCTTAGCCACAACACCAATAAAGTAAATACACTCTAAACTACATCAAAATATAAGTAAAGTAGCCATTCTGTCCCACCGTAATCGTGTTTCTCGAGGTGGTCCTTCACGCACAGGGACATATTCTGCTTCATGGCATTGTGGTGCAGCACGTCCCACGGCATGCACTCGCCTGCAGGAGGAAGCGGAACCCACTTGAGGTCTTCGGGTCACGTGATGTTTATCTAGAAAATCTTTTCATCTGTGTTTTTTCTTCTCTTTTCGTTGGGTTGTGACGATGGGAGGAAAAACTTATCGTTGATATATTTCATGATTGGAGCATCACGATCTTATTAATAGATGGTTATTATTATTATTATTTTACAGATGGAAAGAGCAGGATAGCAAAAGGGAGAAAGACAGACAGAAAGGACGAGAAAGAAAGGGAGAGAAAGAAAAGGAATCACTCTCAGAGACAGATGCATATCTATATGTAGATGCATACATACATAATGCACATTCAAAGAGAGAGAGAGAGAATAAGAGAGAAAGAGAGAGATAGAAGAAAGGGGCAATGACAGACAGACAGACAGAAGCAGTGACAGACACAGACAGACAGAAGGATCGAAGCAAACAGACAGAGCGAAATAGAAAAATAAACAGAGAGACAGACATACAGACAGACGGAGAGATAGATAGACAGCCAAAGACAAATAGAAAGAGGGGCACACAGACAGACAGAGAGAATAAAGCACAAAAGACAGGTGGACAGACAGACAGGATGAAAGAGACAGACAGGAAGACAACAAGATCAATGTTACATTCTATTTGCTGAAGATAGTGAATGTTATTCATATTAAAGACATAAATGAAATACAAATAATGCATGATCGTCATTAATAATAATAATAATAATAATAATAATAACAATAACAATAGTAATGATGATTATGATAATAACAATAACAACAACAATGGTAATGATAAAGATGTTGTAAAAGATATGATAATAACATTATCGAAAGACAATTAGCAACAACTACAGTCGTGATAGTAGCAATGGTAATTGCAAAAAACAATAACAACAAATCACAACAACCATCACCACCACCAATGGTACCAACAATAACAACAAAAACAACACCACTACCATCAACAACAACACTACCAAGAACAACAGACAACAATAACAAAATCACCCCCACCAACAACATCATCAACAAAGCAATCACATCACCGCCAACAACAACAACCACAACAATACCAACAGTAACCACAACTAATAACAAAATTACCAACACTAACAACAAAACCAACAACACTACACCGCCACCAACAAAATCAACACTACCACCAATACAACAACAATACCAACAACCACAAAGCTACCAACGTCAACAAAAACAACCACAACTCCGCCAGCAGCGCCAGCGACGCCACGGCCAGCAACCCACGCGTCTGGTCGCCCTCGAAGCGGAAGGGCAGCGAGGTGCAGCCCGAGTGCAGGAACGGACACTCCCGGTAGTAGAAGGCGAAGTACAGGTTGTTCTCCGTGTGCGCTCTCTCCTCCTCGCCCAGCTGCCAGAACTTCTCCTCGGTGAGGCAGGTCGGCCTCGACCACGGCCAGATCTCTTGGTATTTCTCCCGCCGGTCGATCTGGGCGGAGGGCGACAGGAGAGGAAGGGAAGAGAAGGGAAATGAGGGGTGGATGTGGACGCGGTTTAAGGAGAATGGCTTTGGTTAGGAAAAGATGGTTTGTGGTTTGATGAGGGTGTTTATGGTGGGATAAAATGCGTTGCTGGTTTGTGAAAAGGGATTATTTTTGGAGATAAAATCGTGGGTTGGATAAGGTAGATGGTTAATGAAGAAAGCGGTTGGTGCTTAAAAAAAATGTTCATGGTTTTCGAAAAAAAAAAGCTCATGAGGTTTGAAGTAGAGTTAAAAGTTTTCGAAAAAAGTAACTAATGTTTTGGAGAAAGGGTTGGTGGGCTGGAGGGAAGGGTGATGGATTGTGCTTCGGATAAAAGAGTTGGATATAAAGGGTTGGTGGTTTACAAAAGATGGTTATCGTTAGAAAAAAAAGGTGAATTGCCACAAGAAAAATGGCCAATGGTTTGAAAAAGGGGGATTGTGGTTGAAAAAAGGGTTGTTATTGAATACACAGGGTTCTTATCTTGCATAAAAAAAGTTAGTTGTAGGAGAGTTAGATGGTTAATGATTGAAAAAAGCTGAAAACCCCCACCGTGGTGACCGAGAGGGCGACGGAGGCGGCCGTGTTGGGGGCGACGCGCACGGCCTGCATGTTGGCGGCGACGGTGGGCGTGACGGGGAAGTTGGAGAGGGAGACGTGGATGCCCTCCTCGGACAGGCTGGTCGTCGACACCACCTTCGGGTCGTATTCTGCGGCGGGAGGGCGTGAGATGGAGGCGGGAGGGTGGGCGGAAGGGGGGAGGGAGGGGGGGGTGGGGGTTAGATAAAGGCGGGAAGGAGGGTGAAAAGGGAGGGGAGGCTGGTCGTTGAAACCCCCTGGGTCGTATTCTGTCAGGGGGGGGGGGGAGTTAGAGACTAACAAGTAATCAAACAAATAATGCCAAAGCCCCTTCCAACCCCCCCCCCCCCCCCTCGTACCCCTCACCCACCTGCCCTTCCCGACCCACCCATCTCCTCCTCGCAAATAAACAAAACAAAAGATTCCAGCAACCCACTCAAAACCCCACCCACCGAACCCACGCCTTCCTCACCCACCCAATGACAAATAAATTTTCCGCACACACTTTAAGAACCCCACCCACCCACCCACCCACCCCACCACCCGCCACCCATCCACCCACCCGCCCACCCATCCACCCATCCACTCACCCCCGCCCACCCATCACCATCACCCACCCATCCACCCGCCCGCCCACCCACCCACCCGGCCCACCGAACCCACCATCTGCTCCTCGCTCGTGACGGAGAAGATGATCCTTGGCCGCCCATGAGCCCCGCGATGGTCTGGGTGAGGTTGGCGCCCTTGTAGGCGTTGTTGAGGCCGAGGGTGGAGTAGCACACGCCCATGTTGGTGACGGTGGCGTGGGTGAAGGCGTCGCTGCAGCACTGCTCGCTGGGGGAGGGAGAGAGGAGGGAGGCGGTGAGAGAGAGAGAGAGAGAGAGGAGGAGGGAGAGAGGAGGAGGGAGGGAGGGCGGGAAGAGGGAGGGAGGAAGGAGGAGGAGGGAGGAGGAGGGCGATGGAATAGAGGAGGGGAGGGGAACGAAGATAGAAAGGGAGAGGAGGGAGGGCAGTGAGAGGTGGCGAGAGAGAGGAGGGAAGGGAAGGGAGAAGAGGGAGGGAGAGGGAGGAGGGCGATGGGTGAGAGTTGGTGAGAGAGCGGATGTTGGTGAGAAGGAGGAGGGTGAGAGGGGGGTGATGGTGGAAGGTGAGAAGGGGGGGGGGGAGAGGGAGGAGGGAGGGGGGCCAGGATAAGGGAGGGAATTGAGGGAAGTCGGTGGATGGATGAGTGAGTGGGAGGGAGCTGAGGATGGGGAAGGGTGGGGATGGGTAGGATGAGGAAGTGGGATGAGGGAAGAAGGTGAGGGAGAGGTGAGACTGGAGGAAAGGGGGGAGTTGGTGAGAGGGAGGAGGGAGTAGATGGGAACAGCGATGATAGGGAGGGAAGAAATAAGCGAGTGAAGGAGGGAGGAAGCCGCAAGGAGGGAAGGCGGGAGAGCAAGTCACAAACGGCAGATAAAGAGAAAAAAGATAAAGAGTGAAAAGATATATATACGATACATAGCGAGTACCTTACATATAACGACCTGTATCAGTCTATCTGAATCAATATAATAAATAATGATCTACCTGTATCTCTAAACATACAACCGAGATATCTTAAATGATAATAAAGCAATAATAAAATGATAATGATGATGATGATGATGATGATGATGATGATGATGATGATGATGATGATGATGATGATGATGATGATGATGATGATGATGATATGATGTGATGATGATGATGAATAATGATGATATAATAATAATAATAATATAATAAATGATAATAATAATTGATGATGATATATAATAATAATAATAATAATAATAATAATAATAATATAACACAAACTCCTCGAAAAACTCACCTGTAGGATCACTGGTCGGGCTGTAACATCCATAATGACATCCTTACAGCTGTTTCAAAGAAAGGAGAAAGGAGATTTTTTTTCTTTTTTCTTTGTTTGTGATTTAAGATGTTTTGAGTGGTATTTTGTCATGAATTTTGAATTTGAATTTTGTCAGATTGAAATTCTTGGAGAGGAGAGAAAGAGAAAATAAGAGGGAGAGTAAAAAAGAGAGAAAGATGGAGGGAATGAGGGTATGAGGGAGGGAGAGGAGAGTAAGAAAGAGAGGAGAGGAGAGAAAGAGAAAGTAAAAGAGAAACAGAAGGAAAATGAGAATAAGAAAAGAATTCTTAAAAAGACGATTATATATATATATATATATATACATATATATATATATATATATATATATATATATATATATATATATATATATATATAATATATATATATATATATAATATATCCAAAAGAAACAAATCAAAAGAAATTATTTTAAAAACTATAAAAAAAACATTGAAAAACAACCGCCCCTTACCCCCCCTCCCCCTCTCCCTCCCCCGTCCCCGCACCACGTCGGCGAGAGCATGATGACGAGCTCCTCGAGGGTGACATTCCGCGTCCTCAGGTAGTCCTTGAGCTCGGCCTTGAGGAGGATCTTGGTCTTGGGGTCCGTCTCAAGCTGCGAGCTGATGGCCTCCGTCCCCGAACCGCCAGCAGGATGTAGGAGGCCAGGGAATTGCTCACGTTGTGCTCTGCGGGAGGAGGAGGAGGAGGAGGTGAGGGAGGAGAGAGAGTGGAGGAGAGAGAGAGAGGGAGGAGATGGTGGAGGAGAGAGAGGAGGGGGGGAGGGAGGAGAGGGAGGAGGAGATGAGTGGAGCTGGGTGAGAGGAGAGGAGGAGGGAGATAAAGGAGAGGAGAGGAGGACGGAGGGAGGGGAGAGAGAGAGAGAGAGAGAGAGAGGGGGAGGGAGGAGAGAGAGAGAGAGAGAGAGAGAGAGAGGAGAGAGAGAGAGAGAAGAGAGAGAGAGAGAGAGAGAGAGAGAGAGAGAGAGAGAGAGAGAGATGAGAGAGGGAGAAGAATAGATAGATAGACTGCATATCTTTGTGTACATACGTGTCTGTGTGTGTGTCTGTATCTGTGTTCTTGCGTGTGTGTGCATGCATTTTTGTTTCCTTTATCTTTATGAAAAAAAAAAATGGAACACGTCAAGTATCCCTGAGAGTTTGCACTGTTGTTATAAAGAAGCACTATGTATGATTAGCATTTTAATTATCTCAAACTACATAAAACAAAAGGAAGGAGAGTCTATTTACTCAGTACAAACTCTTTACTTTTTTTTTACTTTTTGTTAATGAATGAGTACGCATTTTTATAACTATGTTTTCTTTCATAAATATGTAAGTATTGTCACAAAAAACACAGAAAAGAGGGAGATAAAAGCACATCTAAAAACAAACATAGATACAAAAAGAAACAAAAAATAAAACCCATTCAAAAAATAATAAATGCACAAGACTAAAAGAAAGAAACAAACAAATAAATCTCACGTAAGAATTAAATTAGAAAAATAATTTTAATAAAAAGTAAACAAGACATTTTAAAAACTCACCTCTCATAAAAAGACAAAATACAAAAACAAACAACAAACGATGAGACGAAATACGGAAACACTCAACTCAAACGGAAACCAAACAAAGCAACGAAGCACATAGCAGCAGAAAAAAAAAAAAAAAAAAACATGAATCACGCACACGAACATCCATAAACAAATCAATCGCCAGAAAGCCACAAACACGCAAACCACACACATCCGAATTAAAGCTAATGATGTTACTTTTCAACGCGGGAAACGAGTCACAGGCACGAACTGAAAAAAAAAATAAAAAAACAAAAAAACAGACAACACGACATCACAAGCCAAGCACCACCAACAAAACACAGAAAAGAAAAATTACTTCTTTACGCCAAAAAATACCCCTCCCCCACAAATATGTATATATATATATATATTATATATATATAGTTTATAATATAGTGTAAAACAACATATATATATAAACATATATACATAATATAAACTACAACCACCACCAACAAAACAAGAAAACATCCTAAAAAGCAATTATACTTTCAACTCGGATATCCCAATACGAAACACCTGAAAAAAGCCACAACACAAAATAACAACAAAAACAAACAAATGAACAGATGAACAAGCCGCAAAGCACCCACCAAAAAACAAGCCAGTGCAACTACCTTTCAACTTGGACTTCCAGAAGCCGGACAGACTGCAGACTGTGATGTAGGGAACCCGCACTCCTGTCGCCGGCGTTGCAATAAAACCATACATATTATCTTAAAGTCTGCATTTGAATATTATTTTGGTAAAAAGGAAGAAATAAAAGTAAAAAGGTTATATATAAATATAGTATTACTGTAAAAAGAAATCAATGAAATTAGAGCATGGACTAAGGCATATTTCAGGGGAGACTATGATATGAGGACACACCCTCGCTCCGCATGTCCTTGTACACGACCTCCGTGGTTGGGCGGCGGGTGACGAAGGCGCTGTGGGTGACCTCACTCGTCGAGGAAATGAGGAGGACCAGGCTGAGGGAGAGGAAAGAGAGAGGTTTAGTGTGAGGGAGGGAGGGAGGAAGGAGGGAAAGGGAGAGAGAAAGATTAGAGGGTGGTGTTTGTGGGGAGAAAGGGCTGGAGAGGGAGGGAGGGGAGGAAGTAGGAAAGGGTGAGGGAGGGAGGGAGTGGGGGAGAGAGTTAAGTGGGGGGGTTATTGAGAGAGGGAAGGGGAGAGAAATAGAGGGTTTTGGGTTATTGAGAGAGGGGAAGGTAGAGGGAGAGAGGAAATGGTAGAGTGAGGGAGTGGGAAAGAAAGATGGATGGAAGAATTCGGAGAGGTAGAAGGTAAGGGAGGGAGGGAGATAAAAAGATTAGCATTGAAAGAATGGAGGAAGGTTAAAGGGGGTTGCATTGAGAAAGAGAGAAGGAGAGGGAGGGGAAAGAGAAAGATCAGGGGGGTTGTATTGAAAGACGGGGAGGAAAGAAGAGAGAAAAGAACTGAGAGAGGGAAAGGGAGGGGAGAAGGAGAAAAAATGGGTTGTACTGATATATAAGGAGGGAGAGGAAGAAGTGGAGGGAGGGAGGGAGGGCATGGTAGAGGGAGAGGGTGTAGCCTCTGGCACCAGCGGCGTGACAGCGCGACCACGTATCAACCTCCTCAAGACGCCCAGGTCAGCTCGGGCTAAAAGTTTCCCCGTGAACTGCGATCGGATAGTGCCATCGGCATGGTTCCCTGTGTTGACGCGTTTACGTAATACGCCTCGACCCTTGTGGTGACTAATGTATAGAATGGGGGGGGGCCTCACGAAGGGGCATCAGTGGGGTGCAGGGCAGTTCGAGAGTTAACACTGATCTGAGAAGATGTACATGGATAGTTGAAGATATCTAGTGCATACGTATATCATTGAGAGAAGGAGGGAGGAGTGGGAGGGGGAATAAACCCAATACAAATTTTTATAAAAATGATTATCAAAACACTTTACCAATCACACCCAAAATCCAAATTCTTATTACAGCTCTGTTATTATCTTCTCATTCAATCATTAATTTATTATTAGTTTAGACGAGCGATTTTAGTGGCCCGACTGCTAGAAGCGCGACCACAGAGTGAATGTTCACGGCGCTTACAGTGGCCCGACTCGTCTCTCCCTCAATCTTGGTTGGAGGAAGGGGAAGCTTCTGTCGCCTGTCTGTCTGCCTCGCTACACGTGATGCTCTCTCATTGGTCGAAACCCACCCACTCCAGCCAATGGGGCGCGCCATCACCATGAAAACGCAGTGGTTGTCGCCGTGTGTGTGTGGGCCGCAAAGCAACACATGTACCTTCGAGTAGTTGAGTAGCGGGCGACTGTGAAGAAGATCACGAGTCGCGCCACAGACCAGCCACAAGCCACTACATGTGTGCGCATCTATTCAGTTCCATTGACGTGGCAGTCGCGCTTCTAGCAGTCTCGCCACTAAAGTCGCTCGTCTGAACAGGGTCTTAGAGTTATTAGGTTATCTTCTAATTAATCATATCACCACTTTCAAATTTGATTAATAGGTTGCGTTCATATTAATCCCGTTTTCCGAAGGACTTACCCCGTGATGGTGACGAGGAGCCAGAAGACGCGAAGGAGGAGAGGCAGGTTGTCCTCCATCACGTGACTGAAACCATGAGCTGAGGTCCTGTTGCAGAAGTCCCTGAAAGATGTTTTAATATAGCTTATTTTTATTCATATATATATATAATATATTATATATATTATATATATATATATATATATATAATATATATATATATAATTCAATAAGGAATGTGATTTTTGCGTTAGTATGTTCGAATTTCTATATTTCTTTGTTCAATCATTTAATTGATTTGCTTGTTTATTCAGTTTCATTATCATCTCTATCACCACTCTTACCCCTTCATTCACCACAAGTATTGCAGGTAGAATAGCCATTATTACCATCGCTGTTCCTATTGCTATTCGCATCACGAAGGCTATTTTCGCCGCTCGATCTCACCTGAAGGCTTCCCGGGCGCCCTGCGTCAGGTCCGCCGCCCGCTCGAACATCTGCTTCGCCTCAGGCAAGCCCAACCCGTTCATCTTTTCCTTCAGCTGACTGCCCAAGTTCCTTCCCTCGGATTTCGCTTCCTCTTGCTCTCCTCCTCGACTCGCTCTCTCCTCTGGCACGTCTTCGCTGCCGTCAGGACTACTGCGGACCATGTTGGGGTACATGGCATCGTAAGGAGGCGGGTGCTGGTCCGGTTCGCGCGGGGTTTCGAATCCCTTCGTCGTGGGTTCGAGGTGGTGTTGGAGATTCAGTTCGGACGCTGTGTATCGGTGTCTCGAGGCTCTTTTGTTTTCTTTGGTCCTGATGTTGCGGTTTCCCATTTTCTTCGAATCTCTATGTATCGGCATTTCCCGGGTGGTGCGAGCTGTTCTGTTAAAGTTGTCTTGGGTTTAAAGATATTCCAAGTGACTGTTTATTGCGTATATATACATAGTAGGTTTCGTTATCATAATGAAAACCTATATAGTCTCATACCATTTACATCATCTCCAGTTTATCCTCTCTCTCTCTCTCTCTCTCTCTCTCTCTCTCTCTCTTTCTCTCTCTCTCTCTCTCTCTCTCTCTCTCTCTCTCTCTCTCTCTCTCTCTCTCTCTCTCTCTCTCTCTCTCTCTCTCTCTTTCGCGTCTCTCTCTCTCTCTCTCGTCTCTCTTCTCTCTCTCTCTCTCCTCGTATCATTCTCCTCTCACTCGTCCTTTCTCACACTCTCTTTCTTTCCCTTTCCCTCTCACTTCCTCGCTCTCTCTTCTTCCATCCTCCATTCGTTCTCCCTCTTACGAATCCGGGCATTAAAAATGAGATACAAAAGAGAGAGAGAGACAAAAACACGTCTGCCTTTTAGCATTCTACCCTCCAATTAAGGCAAAAGGAGATCAAATTTAGCCACGGAAAGAATCGAGTCCTTTAAAGAGTCCACTTATAAGGGATCCACCGAAAAATAAGCCAAAAGAAAGGAGAAAAACAAAAGAAAGATTTAAAAAAAATGATTGAAGAACCAGTAATGTCGAAATGCTTTTTTTTTCTTTCGTTTTCTTTTTTTTTCTTTTTTTTTCCACTAAGTATTCACAATTTTGAGAAGAAAAGGAAGTAATGAGACCGGTAATTAACAAAAGGGAATTGTGGCCTTTGGAGGAATATCACATTTAGCAAATGATACAAAATAGACTCCAAAGTTATTAGACCAAAGTTATCGGAATTTTATTATTATCAACATATTTCCGTAATCGTTTTTTTTTTTTTTTTTTTTTTTTTTTTTTTGTCAATGGCAATACAATCAACGATATCGAATAATTACGATTCTATTCTCAGGTCATTCAAATATAGTAATTGACATAATTTTTGGTGAAGTATAAGAGTATGCTCAAGGAAATCATTTCGTTGCATCATGGTACTATATAATAATAATAAATCTATAATAAATATATAATAATAAATAAATAAAAAATGATAAGTCAATGGTGTTTGTGGATTCTTGTTCCGTGTGTGAATTATGAGACTGTGTTTCAGGAGGACGAGTGTGGTGAGAGGGAGAGAGAGGTGGAGGGGGGAGGAGGAAGGGAGGTGGGAAAAGGGAGAGAGGGAAGGAGGGAAGAGGAGATAAGAGAGATAGAAGAGGAGAGGAGAGAGAAGGGAGGAAGAGAGAAGAGAGATAGAAAGGGAGAGAGGAGAGAGAAAGAGAGATAGAGGGGAGGAAGAGAGAGAAAAAGAGATAGAGGGGTAAGAGAGAAAAAGAGAGAATAGACAGGGGGAGGAAGAGAGAAAAGAGAGATAGAGGGGGGAGGAAGAAGAAGAAAAGAGAGATGAAGGGGAGACGGAAAGAGAGACAAAAGCAAGCAATACGAGGGCGGGAGGTACAGATAGAAAAAGAGAGACTCATCGATAGTGTGACGGTGGGGGGGACGCGAGAGAGAGAAACAGAGAGTAATTAGAGTGGGGGGAGGGAGACACACATTGATGTAGAGAGAGAGGGTGAAGGGACAAGAACCAGGAGACGAGACTGATAGAAGATAAAACAAACAGTACAGCAGTAGAAGGCTGGAACAGGAAGAGAGATGACAAGCAAGAGTGATTCAGGAGGGTTCCGAGTCAAAGAGAGGGAGGAGAAGGGTGATGAGACATACGAACGGATTTGAAAGTGAACCCAAACAGTGAGAATGAAAGGGAGCAAGACGTGTATGCTGTGTTTCCTGAACGACTATAACTCAGAGTGCATTTACTTGATCATAAAACCACTTTAATCATAAAATAAGAAGTTGAATCGAAAATATAGAGGTTTCATTTCTTTTATCTTATAAATAAGAATGAAAATAAAATAATATTCATTAGACGAAAATTATGAATATCCGGAAAACAATTAGAGCGCAGTAAACTGAATTTTGTATTTTCTCGAAGAATCTCTGCGTTCGTCAATCATCAACTATATGTGAACCAGAGAGAGCGAAAATTCATGAAACATCTTGCGCTTGAGTGAGCGACCGCGGCGAACTCTTCTTATCGCTAGGTTGCCATGGCCGTTAGTTTTATTATTTTCGTAGGATTCCGAGCGAGAAACGGGAGAGAGGAGACGAGATAAGGATTGAAACTTGGTAGATTGAATGTAAGAAGAAGATAAGAAGTTCTGGAGAGGTATCTTGGAATGAGAAGCGATACTTGTATACATCTGTGGTCTGTAATCTGATTTTTAGCTGGAGCATATTGCTGTGTGGTGGTGTGCATACAAACAGCAGCGATGAGGGCAACACACACACTATTCACGCAAGCACACAGCGGCACGACAGCGGGCAGGGGCACACAGCATACCGGTTGTGTGTGTGTGTGCTGGTGTGTGTGGTGTGTGTGTGTGTCGTTGTGTGGGTGGTGTATAATATAATAATCTAGATATATATATATATTGTATTATTGTTATGAGGTAATAATAGGGATATATGTATATTAGTTATATATATGTGTAATGTAGAGCGGTTCTAATGACGCTTATCTTATCTATGATCAGTAGCGATCTCTCGGCTCTGTCTACCTGGCTCTCTCTCATTTCCATCAATCTCCTCTCTTCTCTCTCTCGTCTCTATATCTCCCTCTCTCTTCTCTCTCTTCTCGTCTCTTGCGTCTCTTCTTGTGATAATGTATTATATATTTATGGTAGATATATATATATATATATTATATTTTGGTATTTAGGGAGAGAGTAAGTATATAATAATACTAAGACATTATATTTATATATATATTACTATATTATTGAGATAATAGATTTATATATATACATCGTAAATATAGTATTAGTGGAGATATTATATTATATATATATATATATATACTTAAGCGCCCCTACCTCTATCCCCGTATATATCGCCACCGAAACTTCCCGCCGATCGCCCGCGCCCTTTATAGGCGCCGCCGGTTTCGCCTTCGGGAGGGACAGGGCGCAGGCGCGTCCGACGCTGCTGGTGGATGGTGTATGGTATATATATATATATATATATCTATATATATATATATATATATATATATATATATATATATATATATATATATATATATATATATATATATATATATATATATATATATATATATATATATATATATTATATATATATATATATTTATTTATTTATTTATTGTATATATATTTATATACAAGTGTGTGTGTGTGTGTATTTACATATATATTAATATATATATATATATATATATATATATATATATATATAATATAATGTATGTGTGTGTGTGTGTGTGTGTGTGTGTGTGTGTGTGTGTGTGTGTGTGTGTGTGTGTGTGTGTGTGTGTTTGTGTGTATGTGTGTGTGTGTGTGTGTGTGTGTGTGTGTGTGTGTGTGTGTGTGTGTGTGTGTGTGTGTGTGTGTGTGTGTGTGTGTGTGTATGTGTGTGTGTGTGTGGTGTGTGTGTGTGTGGTGTGTGTGTGTGTGTGTGTGTGTATATATATACATATATATATATATATATATATATATATATATATATATATATATATATATATATATATATATATGTATATAATGTGTATATATGAATATATATAATATATGTATATATATATGCATATATATACATATGTATATATGCATATAATATATACATATGTGTGTGTGTTTATGTATGAATAAGAATATATATATATTGTATACGTGTGTTCGTACAACCCCTCCGAAAGGTTGTTTTTTTTTATCTCTCTAAGTTTGGAAATCAGGTCAAAACACGACCTCCCGCCCTGTCCATAGAAACGGCGCCTCTGCTCGTGACCTTTATCTGGCCCACCGTGTTCGCCCCCCGCCCCCCCCCCCCCCTCGCTATTACAGCCCTATGTTGCTTCTATCTCGCAGAGCAAACACCCTTGTATAATCCTTGTTTTCTTACTCAACCCCGCTCTCTGTTCGCTATGACGGGCTGTTTCTAAATATATCATCTATGAAATATGTTTCGTTGCAAGTTTCCTGTCCCTTGATATCGCTGTGCAACTTGCAACACGACGGGGAAAAAAAGGTAGCGAGATAGCGTTCTTTTTAGAGGGGTTTGGCTCTGTTATCTTTATTGCACTCTCGGCACCGCGCTCATCCCGTGTTCGTCCGAGACCGTGCATATTTATTTGAGAAATTTATGAGTTATTTGGTAAGGGCAATAACGCGCTGGGAGGCATCCGAACACGGGGCATTATGAAGTCCTGTTAATGGCCCGAGGGAAGGACGCTGGGTCTTCCCCTCGCTCTCGGCTCCTCAGGAGGATTTTGTTTGCTGTTGTGTGTGAGAGAAACGTCGAAAAAAAACCTTTTTCGCTTTTTAATGGTAATTATGAGGATTTTAACATTAATTCAGGTAATTATGATGATTTTCCTGATATACCTTTATTATTGACAATAGTGAACCTGTAACGAAAAATGGCTTACTCATTATTTCGAGAATTATTATATACTTAACTGCGATTTAATTCATTTTTTCTTACTTTTTTACCAATGGAAATTTTCCTTGAATTCAAAAACAATCGTTATCTTTTCTTTAAATATTTCCAAGCTGCGAATCAACCTCTCCCGCACTCACAAAGGTTCCTCTAAGTAAGACAAACTAAGCTGTTCAATCGTCGTTCAGCGAGATTTTGAACACAGTGTGAGGGCTATCCTGGGAGGCGTGGCAGCGTTTCCTTAGTATGATGGTGTTCAGTATAAGTCGATAAATAATTGAACATTCCTATTCATCTATTCATCTATTAATTACTTGTATATCTACTTGTATTCATTGTCATCTACACCGCTGGTGAGAGGTGTTCTTGAGTAGCGGACTCGCTGATATTTATTTCCAGGAAAATTTTTTAAAAAAGTGAAAATCCTGATATTTTTCTCAAATTTCCCG